CAAAGACACATCCGAGATGTTCTATATTACTTAGTCACCATACATATTTGCAATACATACGCAGACAACTTTCTCCCTCTGTGTAAGAGTTAAGCATCAAAATTCAACTAAAAAGCAATGCCTTGGGTATTTAAGTGCAAAAGGATCTTCCCTTTGAAGATCCTTCTCACTCTGCCTCCACGAACATGTTGTGAAGTTCCCAATCTCCCAGTTTAAAAATTACTTCCACAATTTTGCAACCATTTTGCATACCCCCAATTCCAGATATTTCCTGGAATTTTGGTAACATGAGTTTGGCTTCCTATAGCCATTTACATGGGAATAGTATGATTAAGAGAGATCCCTAATGCTTGGCTTCAAATCCTGACCAATATTTCTGTCCACATGGCATAACAGAGTCCCAGATGCCTGGTCTTAATCATGTATTCAAGTGTCAGAACTGGAGCTCTGGGTATTCAAGTTCTATACACGGATACGTGCGCATTAAGATACAGAGTATAAAAAGCATTCCACTATCTGGGTAGAAAAGCTAACGGACATTTCTGTAGAACCTGCTAACACATGCCCAACACAGGAACCAAGTAATTTTTCCAGCATTTTCTAAAGTAGTACATTTCTTAACATAGCAAATGATTTATGTGAAATGAAAGTAATTTTAAGATGTTTGTAGAATTCAAAACACGTTAGACTACTTTATTTTGAAAAGCCACAACTACGTTTCAACATGAATGCACTACAGATACGTACACCTGAATAGGTGAAAAATCCAAAGTTATCTAGCTATTACCCAAAAGTCTAGACAGTTTTCCCTGCAAGAAATTACTAAGTCAAAAATCTTACCTCACTGGAACATGTTCTTTTGCAAGCTACAACTACCACCTGTAGTTCCAATTACCTAAAACCTGCAATATTCACTGTGAAGAGTTAACATTGGTGTATAAACCTCATGTTAAAACTTCATAGAGGGTTTGGCATATTATAGTATAATGAATTAGGCTGCCACATTGGCTCTACACAAGCTGCAAGAAAAGTGAAGCAGGAGGAGATGAATCAAGTGTGTGTGATAACACACACTGTATGGATCAGAGTAAACAAGAAAGTAACAGCAGTAATATTGATAGCATGAAACAGTTAAAGGAAGAGCCCACCTGCGCAGTCAAATGGCATGATAATCAGTGGGAAGAGTGGATGCGATAAATCACAGATCTCACATGCCATCATCTGAGAATCAACAGGAAATGTTTTGATGTGAGCATGATTGGCGCTGTGATCCATGTACACACATGATATTGTAATAGTAGGAATGGTCTTCTCTGATCTTTCCACAGGCATTATTCAGTTTGAACAAAGGAAATCTTGTTGGAGGCTACAGCTTTGCCAGGCAACAGAAGAACTGCCTTTAAGCGTTCATGATAAGCAGACTAATATATTTCCCATCATATGAGTAAACAAAGATTTTCAATATGGTTGAATAGAAAAGTCTTTGTTAAAATCCACAGAATAAGAAAGTACCCAAATGCAGACAGACAAAGCCCTGATCTTGAAGCAGCCCAAGCTCTGAAACATGTAATCTATCACGTAAGAGACAGAAGAGGTCAGCCATTAATTAACATCCAAATTAAAGCTTTTCAAGTAAGGGTCAAAACTTCCTTTGTTTTGACATTTAAATCCCTGGCAATGTATTCCGCAGTTTAGTATGCACAACACATCACCCAACGCCTTTATGTTAATTGCCTCAATTTTTCAAGTGCACTATTTGATTCATTGTCAATTAAAAATACACCCAAAAGCCAAGACTCATGTATGTTAAGTATAAACATGATTAATGTAATGTAACACAATTACATTTCCACATTTGATGAGTCTGATTAGGAACTTTCTATCAGGCTGGCATGACAGAGCGCTGTCACTACCAGTGACCTGTCAGCCTTGCCAAAGACAAGCTTGCTGATGGGGAAGCATTTCATGGCCACAAATGTTTCAGAAAGGTGTAAAACCTGTAATTAAAAGCTGTCAATTATCACCTTATCAAGAATGTAGCAATCTTTATGATCTTCTCTATTTGATCGCAGAAGGTGGTCCTAGGTCTAAACTAAAAAAGCTATAAGGAAGAAAAATCCAGTAACATCATTGCTTGTTGAAGCAGTAATTATGTGGACAGACCCTCTAGTATTTCCAGAAAGTGACTCTATGAATCCTCTCCCACTACGTCAGGGGAACATCTGGTTTAAGAAAACTGTTCTCAGGGAGAAGAACTGGGCAGACCACAAGTAGGAGAGCAATGCCTGATTTTGTTTGTGGTCATAGAAAACATGTTATAAAGAGATAAAGGGGCCCGATGAGAAAAAAGTCAAAATTAGGAAAAATAAATGACAAAATTAGGAAAATAAGATGGTCCAAGTCTGGAGGTTGCTGTTAAGTGAGATGCAATGGTAATTAAAAAAAAAAGAGCAGTTCAGCCCGAGCACAATGAGATAAAAGCTAAGAAATAGCAACAGAATTCCAGTGGAACTAACAGAAAGGAGGGTACGCATACACAACTGGAGTGATGTAATTGTTATGGCCAGCTTATAAGTAGGCTTTGATAAGAATTGGTACAAATTAGAATAAGAAGTAAGATAAAATTCTGTACCCTTAGTTCAGGCTTCTCTTCCTTCTTCCCATCAGAAAACATAAAATATAGTTAACATTGCCATATTTAGAAGTAATAAATACGTAAGAACCAGCCATAACCTATATTTAATTACAAGGGAGATACTAGCAATGAAATGTACAGTAGGTCCTTGTTTAAATTGAAAAATAAAAAAAGAAAGAGACTGTTTTATTGCACTTCAGAAAAGAATTACGGAGCTCCTTGGCTTATCAGGGACTACAAAAGCAATCACTGCTATAGGCCTGCTTTGCATATTCGCTCTATTAATTTATGTAGCCCTGGTAAGCCTCACATTGCAATGCAACTGCTAAATTACACTGCTCTTGGGTAATGGGTATAAAAAGATGCAAGAGCATGCAAAGTGTGTTCAAACAGACAATTAAAAATATCAATTCTGTTGACAGCTAAAATGAAGAAACTGTGCAGAGGTTTAATGCTGCTGCATGAAGGACATACTGTTTACGAGTGATTGAATTAACCAGAATCATGCATCGACAGTCTGCCTTTGTCAAACATTACATATTAGGCCAATTTAGTGTCTGCTTATTAAAATAATTTAATTCCGAAGATTGTTTCCAGGCATTTCTAAATCTCCTCCTGCTCTTCCCTCCTCCTTACATTAATGATGGCATCTTAATTATTGTGCTAGTTTCATACGAGTGCAATTTGCTGGGTCACCATAGAGCCCAGTCAACTTTGGCTTAACCAACTCGTCCTTTAGGTGTTTGGGAGGACAAGCAAGAGGACAGCAGGAGGTCTGGCCAGACACGCTGCAGCCTCAAAGCTCAGAAGCAGCCAAAGAATACAACAAAGGTTATATTTATTCAACTTGACACTAACTTGTTAATATTGCTTTTCTTTACATAGGTCTTCAACTTTGCATGCTTATTAAATCTATTATGCTTCATATATTCTCTGAATTTCTACTTTTAACCACATAGGGATGATGTGTTCATCAACTCTTTAAAATAAGAATTTAAAAGAAAACAAAATTGCCTAAAGAAATTAGAAGTTTGAAATCTCTCTTCTAAACTGAATCATAATCTCACATCTCTGAATAGCATTACTACTTATGATCTCAATTTCCTCTGAAAATGCAACTCGGACTAAGCAACTTACCAAAATGCTTAGACTAAAAATGTTATCCTAAAGGTTTGCTTTAGCACCTGTTAAAAGCTGAATGACTTAAACTTAAGAGAGTCATTTCAATAGACTCTGGCAACTAATTCTGACATTTCATTTTGAAAAGTTAGTGCTATTTTAAAACAAGTGTGCACAGATATTACACCTTCATCCAAACATGCATAACAGTGAAAATATGTCAATATGTAGTAATAACATCTGAAGGGAACTGAGACAGGAAACATGTGCATTTAATGACTAACATTGCTTTGCATTTCTTGGTTTCACCAAACTATCATTATGTATCACATTGTAGGATCTAGATATTGTACATAGATACCAAGCACTACTCTCTCATGCTGCATACCTAGAAGAATTCCTGGTTCAACAGCAAGCAACCAAGCATGACAAAGAAACTACTATGTATGACATGTAAAAAAGCTAGAATGTTTGGAAGTTATGAAAATAGCAGCACCTAGTATCTTTTTTTAAGTCTTAAAAATCATTGGCCATTGGATAAGGTACTGCCTTCGTTTAACAGTCTTGAAGTCCCAAAGCCACAGAACTGAATGAACAAGTTGTAATGCTCGCTCACTAAAGTAGTTGAATGAACTAACACCAGGACTGAAAGACAGTTAAATCTCTTTCAGTTTAATGCTTCGAGTATACAGTGCCAGATCGGATTTTATAATGGGACACGTGGTCGTTGGAAATATTACTGAATATTCCAGTTGTACAACACACGTAGTATCAATTTGCTATCACTGATGATCACAAGCTTCATCCAGCCTCCTCTGAATTTCATGTAAAGACTTGGACGTGCACTGGCTTTGAATGAAGCTTCTAGGATATAAGCTTACAAATCTGAGTTGCAGAGATGAATTAATAGTGAAATGCTGATAGGCAAGCCCTGATTTCCGAGATTATAGGAAAGACTATAAAAAAATTAAGAGTAAATTTACTTTTAAAAAGTGGATGATTTTAAGTTTTCACAATATTCATACTGTCCTAAATGATTGTATATAGTATTTTGCCATCTCTAATACATGGAACAGAGTAAAGTCTGTAGAGATATAGGATTAATGCAGGGAAACCCAGACAGAGTTATGGCAATATTCAAAACCCTGTGTACAAAAAAAAAAGCTTTCTGATAGATGGTAGGAGTGATATGAATACATAAGCAATTCTGATTTTTGCACAATAGTAGTATATGAAAATAACATACGGTTCAGGACTGGCTGGTCCTCTGTGAATTCAAATGGCTGTTCAATATAAAAAACCTTTTGCTGGAATCCAGGGACACATTCTAAATCTTCTGCACATGCAAGCAGCAGAACCTGAGGGGAAAAAAGGAAATGGACTTTTAACATCCACTCATTCATCCATCACGTTGGCTTCTGGGAATGATACTGGGTTTAGGCTCAGTGCTCATAAAACAAAACATTGGGCTCCATGCTCATAAAACAAAATATCCATCACATCACACTTTCCCTTCAAATCTTGCTAAACATTTTTTTAGGTAAGGTTTTTGCCAGTTTGGCTGGCATGGAAATCACAAAATAGTAGCTTTCAAGGTTAAGTTCAGTTCAGATTATCAATAAAAGGATATTACTGGCCTCCGTGAAAACATAGGATGTAACATTGCTCCTAAAATCACAGGTGAATACAGCTAGGCTTAAATATATGCTTAAATTAAGCACTTTAAAGTTGATTTAAATAATTGATAAATTAGGGTCTGCAACCCAGTTTCAGAAAGTTGATCACCAAGTTACAGAAAGAATTCTTTATTCAAGGGTGAAGTTTCACATCACAGAAGTTTTCTTTATGAAAGAACTTCTTTGCTAACAAATGTAAACAACCTGAAAGACTATTTTTCTTGGCAACTTTTAAAGGAGAGCATGGGGGTAAGAATGTCCAACAAAGAGGCAGCAAGAAAAAAATTACTAAAAAGCATAAAAGGTTAAAGAAAGAGGCAAAAGGAAGCAAGTTCAAGAGTAGGAAAAGCCAAATTTGTATTTTTCAACCCATATATGTGTAGCCGCATTTTCAAAAGTACTTTCTGCTTCAGAACCTGCAAAGATGTTTTTCAAAACCTGACTTTCAGCTGGTGTACAGAGTACTCTGATCTCAAAGTTATTATGGCCAATCTGCTGCTTGTTGGACAGCCGAATTAAAATCAAGGAGAGAGGGCACACATAGTGACCAAGAAAATGGTCAAGCAAAAACAGTGGTTCTGAATGACATTCACTTTAAAATTCACGTAGCCCTGTACAAATGGGTCTATTTACTCAAGACAGCCTCAATATGTGATTACAATTTTGTAAATAAAGCTCTTCAGCTATAAAGTGAGGACAATTTCTCCCCTATACCACACAGGTGAATGCTGAAGCCTCCTTTCTTCTTCACCAGCTCAGGTGACAAACTGCACTCTCACTCCTCCCAACCCAATAGCAGCATCTCACACATTTCTCAGTTCTACCTCCACCACATTATCATCTAGGTATGCTGATCCTGGTCCTAGAGAGATGTCCTACAAAATTTTAACATCTGCATGTTTCCCTCTTAACCACCACTCATAGTCCATTTGCTAAATCAGAGCAATACATTATCTGCTCTCTCCCTTCAAGCACTTCACACTCACTGTAAGTTTTATGTGATCCCATTTATAAAAACCAAAGGCAGCAATATCCCACCTGGTCTGCATTAGTAGTTCTTATTGAAACCAACTGCTGGATCATTTGTTTCATGTCACTGACATTTGCTATAAAAGCTTGGCTAGAAGTGCTAGCAGACTGTGAGAAACAGCCAAAATATTTCATGACAATTAGGTTGGTGGAAGTCAAATGCAGCAGATGGATGCCTTTGCTTTCCATCCTGACTTGTCCTGTGCTTGTCCCTTTGAAGGATTAGCCAAGAAAGAAGAGAAAGACTTCAAGTAATACACTTGACTACTATTCACTTCTATATATCCACATAACTGCTGTCTTTCTTACAAAGGCTTAAAAACACAGTGCCTAATCCGTTATTCAATTATTGACATTGATATATTGATTTTACTGGAGATTCTGGACCTTATAGGGGTTGAGAAATGGACATGTCCCCCTTCAGTCTTCCAGTATGAGACATCTGCAAACGTGAACTGACATATTCAGAGCCCGTCCTCAAAATTGTGCATAAAACTTGATTACCAATTCTAAAAAAAAAAAAGAAGAAAAAAAAAAAAGAATAGCCTGATATGCATTTAAATAGTAACATGCACAGAAAGACACACATGCATTTTCTGCACACATTTTCTGTGTGCACAGGTGCATTTTTAAAGTACCTATCTTTCTGACTCACGGTGTTACTGAATGAATATGCATAAAAATGCAATCACAGCAGAAGGAAAATTCTTCCAATCTCAAGACGCACGCAACAACAGAAGCAAAGTTATATAACAAGCCCACACCAGAAAAATAGCCCAAGCAGTACATACTGAAATTCAACTACAAACAACTCTTCTCCTAAAGGATTAACACAGCAAGTAAGAGGCAAATCATGTTCTGATCTCCCAGCTACTGGCATCTTAAAGTTTAAACTCTTGTCTTACGGAGCTATAAATAAAAAGCCTGCTTTGGACATCATCTATGACAGTACTTAAGAGAAGGGAATATGTCTACTCTATCAGATTTGTGACAGTATAAGTTGACTTTGAAATCTGGGCAATCTAAATAGGTCATGAGTTAACTTCTGTAAGCCTGGTGCAGAAGCCTCACATAATACAGATGTAGCAAATAGAAAATGACCTTTACTCCCTTTGAAATAATTACAAGACTCAGGCTCAGCCTTGCTGTGAAATGGAACATTTTATTCTATTTGTGCAATTCCAGGCACTTTCTTCTTCTCAACATATCAGACAAGATGTTAAATTTGTCACTACACTGAGAGTTTTTAATTAATTATCTTTTAAAAGCACAATTATTCTTTTAATTTATTTTTCTCACAAAGAAACTTCTTCTGTTGAACTAAATGTCTATCTCATTAAAATAATTTCTGTTGAGGTTCTTCACTCTGGGGAAAAAGTCTTTAAAAATAACTTGAAAAAATAAGCCAAGCAGATATATGTTGAAGGCAAAGAGAACATTGTTCAAAGCAGAATACATTCTGAATTTAAGCACCATGTAGATTTCATATTTTTGGATATAATAAAAGGGTCTATGGGCTGATAGCTCTCTATCTAAAGAAAGCCTTCAGCTAAATACACTGAAAATAATGTTTAAATGTCATATATGTAGAATTCAGAATATATAAATACTGTTCACACATCTAGTCAAGTAAGTACTGGGCAATTAGTACAAAGGGTCCTTCACCCGCTACTAAGAAAAAAGCCACATTCTTGAAAGAATATGACAATTATGCAGCAAACATCATTTGGCCATGAAAATCTGAAGGGGTAGAAGTCTGAAAAGCAAACCAGGACTACTCAGACCTACAGATCCTATATTCGCTGACAAGCAGAAGCAAAGGTTTTCATAACCTACTGCTTTTCAGAAATGTACAGGGTGAAGACTCATTTTTAATATCCCAACAATTTGTCTTTCTGAATTTATTACCAGTCACTATAAGGAAGTGTCACTAGTTCAGATAACTTCTGTGGAAGTTTGGTCACTGGGCTAGAACTATACTTCTGATGAGGTATCAAGCCTATGAAACACCTTTTTATTTTCCATTAATAAAACAGCATGCACATGCTGGTGGCCTTGACTGACCCCAACATTTGCACTGAAAGCTGCTCACATAGAACATGGATTAGAGAGCAAAAGAGAATAGCAATTTTATACCATACTGCAGAGGAAATTAATAAAGTCCCTGATGTTGAAGTACCTTCGGGTATTACCACATCTCAAAAGCCAGGGTTCCTCTACCTCCTCTGCTGGTGACTGAAAGTTAGTCTCTGAAATGACCTTCCACAGAATTTCAAAATCTTTATGTCCTTTTAGACTTGCCCAGTTTCATCACATGAAGCAACTCCATTCATGTTTGGTTGGCCACATCCTCACTCCAGAAATTAATTTTCTCACCTTTTACTGTAACCACTGTCATATCTTCATTAACCCTACCTGTATGAGACCAACTTTCTATAACAAAAACGCAAGCTTCAGAAAATTAATTACATTTTGTACATATTCTTGTGGTGTGAAATTCATCCTTGTGCAGGGCTTTATTTAAATAGAGATGTAAATGCAGACACCTGAGAAAACCATCTGTCCAGACATGAATTTTACACAAAATAAATGCAAACAAATCTCATTTCATAGGGCAATATACTGTAAGACCACATTCTACCTTTGACTTCAGGAGAGTAATTTGGAATGCAAACAAAACAACACAAAACCCCACAAAAGAAGAGCTAAAATAGAAATCACACTCATTTTTAATAATAACAATAATCTCAAAAGTTCAAAAATTATGAGTCATTTCCTAAGAAATGCAGTTTTTGGTTGGTTTGGTTTTTTTTTTGTTTAGAGTTTTCGGGGGGGGGAAAAAAAGGCGGGGGGGGGTGGAAGTATGGTTTTGGGGTTTCTTTTTTATTCATTTGACTCATTTACTTGGAAGTGAGTATTGAAAATTTATGCTTCCGAGCTTTTCTCTGGAAACATGAGAACTAGAAATTTTTGCATATCAAAACTTCAGATTTTCATATAAAATATGGTGATCCTAAAAGCTGAGAAGTGAGAGGAAAAAAGTAATCTGAATAATGAGAACTGTCAACACTGAATTAAATTGCACATGGCAAAATATTTTTATCATGCAGATCAAGATCTTTGAATCTTAAAACCCCTTTTATCTTCAGGTGTTGCAGCACTAGATCCACAAAAATGGATAGGAGGAAGCCATTGGAAAAGAAAAACAATAAGCAGCATACAGTCAAAATTATTTGCAGACAGATGATTAAATCTTGTCTTCACTGAAGTCAGTAAGAACTATTTATTGATTTTAGGTTTTTACTCAAGATTTAAATGAGGGAGTTATTTAAATGAAATTAACAGAGGGATACTTAAGCAGAATAAAGAGAGTACTGCTTTAAGTAAGGTTCTGATTCTGCATTATGCAGACTCCAATTAGAGTGTCAGCAGGTCCTAAAGCAATTGTTTCATCAAATCGTATAGAGACTGGACATGAAGTTCTCCTTGTCTCCTGTATTTTTTAACATCAATTGAAACAAAAAAAAAACCACTCAAAAACCTGAATAACTTATCCTCTGATTGGCATAATTAACAAAGGTATTTTAACATTGCATAAAGGTATGTTGAATTATTTATCTTTGAAAATGACTAAATTAAATAAAACACACAGT